TTTAAATTAGTAATGGTTTATGCATTAAAGGGTTATTTAAAATAAAATGAGAGCTTCATACAAATTTGATTCTTTCAACCCCATAATTTTTGTTTTCATTTTATTGTGTAACCTTAATATCGAGTTCCTCAAACAGCATTTTAGACCTTTGTTTAAATGCTTTGTTGTGGGAGGCTGTGTTGTGCATTATAGGATGTTCAGCAGCATCTCTGGCCTCTAACTACAAGAGTCCAGTAGTGTTCGCCAGTCATGCAACCAAAAAATGTCTCTAGACGAGAGTTCAGGTCAAGATGGTGGAATAGATGGTCCCCAGTATCACTCTCTCCCACACATCAACCAATTTACAACTATAAAAATGTCACATCAGCCAAGCTGGGACTGCTGCAGCTCAGGGGAAGAGGAGGAGAGACCTACAGAGTTCATCACAATGAGAGAAAGAAAAAACTGCTCAGAGTGTTTTGGGCCGTGGCCACTTTAAGGCTGAAACTGCTGAGCACATGGAGCAGGAGCCGGCAGGAGCCAGCAGAAGCCACAGCTGTGCCCTTCAGATGGAGTTACTTGGAGGTGGCAGGGGAGAAGAGGGTCTTGGTGGCCCCCAGGACAGCAAGACCACTAATACGGTTCCTGTGGACCCACGCAAGAGTGAGGAGCCAGAACAGCTGAAAAAGGGGAGCCATTCAGAGGCTGGTGAGTCATCGCAAGGGATCAGTGCAGGGCTCGTCCCATGGAAAGTGTTTGGAGCACAGGCAGTGGGGGAGACAGGCCCACAGGGAGAACACTGGGACACCGCAAAGACAGCCGATCTGCCCCCAATCAGTGCAGGACCACGCAGAGGAGACTAGTCAGGAATATAGAATTGCATGGGGTGTAGTTTGCTGAAAAAACTCAGGCCCAGATCAGAGTTTCTACACAACCCATGTACACCAGGTCTCTGGAGAGCTGGAAGTACCTATAAAGTCAACCATTAAACCCTGAGCTACATAAAAAGCCTTCTCTAGGGAACCAGAAGCAAAGCAACAATTTAGCTCAACCACACAGCTCAAGTACTGGTTCCCACAGGAAGTTCCCCTGTTTTAGAAGTAAGCAAAGGACAAAAAATTAGTTCCGGCCCAGGTACACCACCAGTGCCTTGGAGCCTGCCAGGGGACATGAGGCATGGATCCGGGGACTGGACCACCCTCCCACAACCAGGCACACCATGCCAGTGCCTTTTGGCCTGCCTGGGGACCCGAGGCAGGGAGAAGGGGACTGGACACCCCTCCCACAACGAGGCACCCTGCACCAGTGCCTTGTGGCCTTTCCAGGGACCCGAAGCATGGAAAAGGGGACCAGACACCCCTCCCACAACCTGGCACACTGCCAGTACCAGGGAGCATGACAAAAACATCACTTCCATGTGGGTGGCCCACCACAGCCACCACAATAACCATGGCTGCCATGAAAGCGGCTAGACGCCACAACC